TTGCATGAGGCCGACGACAAAAACTTGGCCCTAATGCCCTAGATCCTAAACCCTAAAACCTTAAACTCAAACCCTACACCTTATACCTCTGTTGAAACAGCACACAGCTCTCCTACCCCAAGCTAGGACGCAGAAAGCCAATAATTTCATCCGGCCCTAAAGTCTGTAAACTTACCTACGTTGGGCTGTTTGGACCCCTAGGGTTTTGAAAGGGATCCACCATCTCACCTCTAGATGGTGAGTGGTTTCCACAGATATTAGCTACAAAGCAGCCTGTTGTTAGTTTTTGGCATGGTTACATTTGAGCCAAGCATAGGCAGTCTAAACAACAAAATAGTCCGTGTTAGGCAAAATATACGCACACGTATGTATATATATATATATATCTGTGTGTGTGTGTTTGTACACATATATTTATATGCAAATATGTGTAGGGGCCAGAATGACGCAACCGTGTAGTGGTACGAATCCATGCAGGCCTGAAACCTTCCCCAAGCCCACAACCTCCCAAATCTCGGGTACTGCCTTCCTCCCAACCCAACCAACCCTCAGGGTCTAAGTACCCTAAACACTAAATCCACATGATGTGATGTGGGCCCGGTGGTCTCTACATATCTACTTTGGGTCCAAATTGCACAAGTGTTTGGGTCCTTGGACCGCTGCCCTGTCCAGTATACGACATTCATATGAGCCATAATCTGAACTCCTAGTATCCTCCTTAATGACCCTTAGCATGGAGTTTAGGGTTTAGGGTTTAGGGTCTAAACGCCAAGTATCCCCTTTGATAAGCCGTATGCCACTCCCCTATATAATCCCCTGCATAAGCACCCTTTGAGGGGTTTAGACTATAGCCCCTATCTACTGCGAATGATTATGTAGGTTTTCCATAGGCAGAATGTATGCTAGCTGTATACTTGGGACCCTAAAGGTTAGGGTTAAACCCTGAACCCTGAGCCCTAGCCGAAATAGACAAAGTTGTCACAGATATGGCCCCTTTGGAGCGGGTGGTGCTACTTTGCAAGGCCTAAAGAAACGAAGAAACGAGGACTCAGCCTGGTAGTAGGGGTTTAGGGCTCAGGGGCCGTGCCTGTATTACGAAAGGGTTCAACAACATACGTGATAAACACCATGACTTGGGGGATTCTCAAAATTAGGGGTACCCTTTTGGGAGTCCCCAATAAGGATTATAGTATATTGGGGTCTATATTGGGGTCCTTTTATTTAGGGAAACTACCACTTAGATAATTCCCTCAAGCCACAGCCTCCCAACAGCACGGCGTTAGGTCCCGATGGATACTACCCTTCATGGGGTGCTGGGGCCTTGGGCAACAGATTCAAGGTAATTGAGGTAGGACTGAACTGTCATTTTTGGCGACTGTGTGTAGGGAGTAGGGTCCAGGGTTGTGTATATCTTTGGTGTCCAACGGACCAACGATGGAAATCCTAGAGTTGTTGGCGTATACATAAATGCAATACGCAGGCACGCATCGTAGTTCTCAGGTTGCCTCTCAAAATGACGGGTTCCTCTTCTAGGGGATGGAAGTTGAAGCAGGGCCAAATTACGAATGCCAAGTCACAGTACAATTGTTCGTAGTACCTAAATCCCAAAAGTAGGTAAAAAATAGCCCTAAACCCATAATAATAGCCATAAAGACCATTATTTTACCTACTTTTGGGGTCCAGGTATTTGTCATATTCTAAAACTCAAGATGGTTGCCGCGCCTTCGAAATATGAGCGGAAGAAGAAGGTGACCGGTATCTCAAGCTGGATGCTGTACCCTAAAGCTCAAACCCCTAAATGGGGGTTTCCCAAAATTAGGGGTACCATTTTGGGGGTCCCTATAGTAAGGACTATAGTATTTTGGGGTGTATATTGGGGTTCCCTTGTTTAGGGAAATTACCAAATCCTAAACCCAATATGGAGATATGTCGTTCCATTCTGCATCAGCAGAGCTTTCCTTTTTTTGGGGAGGGTAGCCGTTTTCTTCTACAGCGAGGGCAGAGGGGATTAGCCTTCCAAATAGCTGGAACATAGAGGGATTAAAGTGTTCAGGATTCAGGCTTCGGGGACCTTTCGGGCAACTTGTAACAACCACGCACTGCCTTACCCCAAATGGTCTTTCACATAGAAATTCATGTTCAAACGCTATTGTCTTTTGGGCAGTACAGTACAGCCTTCCTCAATTGGCCTATAGAGGAAATGCGTGGCATCGACTGTTCCGGCAGAGGGCAAGTGGCACCAATCCCACTCCAACGCCTTGGGCGCGTTGCGGATCAGCTGGGGCTGGGGCCGGTGGGCACTTCTGATTCCCGATCGGGGCTGGGGTTCGTTGTGGGGTCCCTAAACCCTGAACCTTAAAGCCTGAACCCCCAAAACTAAACCCTAAACCCTAAACTCTATGGTCAGAGGCCGAGCTCAGGAGAGGGTTTCCCATCTCACCTCAACCGTGCGTAATCCGATGATTGTTTATAGGAGGTTCAAGTGCTTAGGGTTCAAGGGTTTAGGGCTGAGGGTTTGGGGTTTCGGGGTTTAGGGTTCAAGGGTTTAGGGCTTGGGGCTTAAGTGTTTAGAGTTTAAGGGTTTAGGGTTGAAGGGTGTAGGGCTCTAGGGTTTAGGGTTTAGCCTTGAATGTGCGAAATGTAACAATGTGGCGGGCCTGTACTTGCTATGAATTAGTAGGACAGGGAGGAATGAAACTCTATGGTAGTGACTTTTCTAGAACCCTAAACCCTTAACGTTAAACTACCCTACACCCTAAACCCTAAAGACTGTAAAGCTGGGCTCGCATCTCTCATTCCCTGCAAACCACCAGTATAACTGCAAAGCAGCTACACCACGCGGTTTAGGGTTTAGGGTTTACGTAAGGTTTAGGGTTTGGGGTTTAAGGTTTAAGGTACAACTAAGCAGCCAGCAAGGCATCAAACGATGCCCGGAAGCAGTTTTTTGGCGGGGTCCGCGCCCCGTCAACTGCGTGGATTTGAAGGTAAAAAGCTGAAGTCAGTAAGGGCCTAGACCCGTAGTTCCTTTTTGGGCTTGGTATGGTTTTTTGGTTAGGATTCTTATAACGGGACATCCACAAAGGTACTACATTGGAGGGTCTAGGGGGGAAAGGGTAGTCAGGGGGTTGTAGGGAGGCGCCCCGCAACCCGGAACGCTTTCAAGGTAAAGGGTTTTGGAGTTTGGGGGATGAGAGGCATGGACTTGATAAGGATTTGAGTTGAGGGCTGCGGATTGATGCTAAAGGCTTCAGGGTGTAGGGTGAAGGTTACACACCTAGCACTAACACTCCATGGCTTACTACTGAAGAGTCCACGGCTTCACCCTGGTGCTTTCTAGATAATGTAGACCCATGATTAATAACCCCTCTCCTTTTAAGGGCCTTAATATTGGGATCCCTATTATACCCCTCATTAACAAGAGGGGGTTTATTAATCAGGGGTCTACATTAGTGCCCTTAAACCCTAAACCCTATACTATACCCTAAACCCCAAACCCTAAACCCTTAAACCCTAAACCCTATACTATACCTAAACCCCAAACCCTAAACCCTTAAACCCTAAACGCCCTGAGTTGTCGGTAGACAGAGTCTCAGACAAATGGGTTGCTACTGTCTGTCATTTTTCCTTCTAGGCCTGGCCGAAAGCCTAAACCCTGCCCTCAGGGTCCAAGGACCCAAATAATAGGGTCCCTTTAAAGGGGTCATAGGGGGATATATAGGGGTCCAACGACCCAAATAATAGGGTTTAAGGGCCCAAATACCATTAATATTGTAGTATTTGGGCCCTTTAACCCTATTATTTGGGTCCTTGGACCCTTAGGGCTATATAACCCTTTAAAGCCGTAATTATCACGGGAAACCTCATATATCCCCTTCCTGCACCCTTAAACCCTAAACCTTAAACGTCAGGGCGGTTGGGTGGTGAGAATTTGGGCGGCCCAATGTTCTACAGCGCGGCACAGCTTAAACACAACTTCCAGCGGTATCTTTCAAGCGCTCCATGTCAGGCAGCGTTTTGATCAATGTCATTTGAGCAAGGATCAGTTTGCGGCTTGCCAGCGATGGTTGTTTTGGAGAAACTGTTGCAGTGCGCCAGTGAAAGAAGCGAGCAACTGCGCCCCACTCGACAACACACGGACAATCCTGTGTCTCCCCTTACAACTCAGGTTTCTCTTGACCAAACCCCGTGACAATGGTCCAAAAATCCTGAGGGTTAAAGGCCCGGAGGCCCGGCAGCTTCTGTGGAAAGGCAGATGAACGTACAAGAATGGTCAACAGGGAGCAGTGGATGAGAAGAGATGCAGCAGAGAGCGCAGGGTTCAGGGTTTAGGGTTCATATACAGTCGAAACCTAGACCTTAAACCCGAAAGCCTACATCTTAAAATCTAAAGCCGCTGGAGAGACACTCCCATATCCCTGTTGACTGGGCTTGAACAGCAGTTTTAACTGTCGTCTATGACCCGCAAAGAATCCCTCACATCCCAAGGCTGCATATAGGCACTCTTTATAGACTGTGTGAGGCCGTATGTAGGTAGAACAAATAGAATTACTTAGAGGTTCACGGTTATCCTCAAAATCCTGATCTCAGAGGCACCGAAAGAGGGACCGCAGTTCTTGGATTCCCCCCAAGAAACATGAATTACACATGGCGAGCGCCCGAGAACCAAAACCACCTCAGTTGGACGACGGTTCACGGCGTGGGGTTCAGCGGCTTAACGTTGCCATAGTCTTACTTTGGAATTGCAGCTCGCAAAGTCCCATGCTTAAGTTGCTCCTCCTTAAGTGTACCTGAACCCCAAAAGTATGTAGAGTAATAGCCTTTTGGGCTGTGTTCTGGTGTTTAGGGCTACTATTTTGCATACCTTTGGGGTTCAGGACCACACGTGACGTAACTTAGCTAATTAATTCGTTAAGGTTTATCTAAGTAATCTCAGTCCTGTTGTGCCCTCTTAGGCTTACCGCACTGAGATTGCAGACCTCGGAGCCTCTGCTTTGGCTAAGATGGGCGTCAATGTCCCCTTCCAGTGGACACCGGCCCTGCTCGGCGACATCGCAGCTGCTGGCAAGGTGACAGGTACCGTTCGGGTGCCTGATACCGGGTGGCCGCGTGTGCAAAAAGCCATCGCCAGCTGGGTGGACCGCTTCAACGTGCAGCGGGACGACTTCCGAGTCGACAAGCCTGGCGAGGTGTACAGCGATGTTGTGCCGGGCGGCACCTTGCTCAAATGGCTAGTGCACTCTGGGTAGTCCTCGAACTTTGAAAGCAACGTTGACGGACAAGGACGCGAAGCCTTTGTCTATGTCATGTTTGTCCCGCATGACGCAGCGAGCTGGGTGTTAGCGCGCGAAGAGGTCGAGAACAATGCCGTGCGGGGCGACATACGTGCTTTCGCAGCAAGTCAAGGCTTGCGGTGATATTCTATGGCCGCTTCCAATGACATGGTGCCTGCTGTGATGAACGCCGTTGCCTTGCCCTCACAGGTTCATCTCTTTCCTGTGGTGCTACAAGCCACTGAAACCCGCAAATCTCAAAACCTTATAAATCTCCCTAAGATGCAGGCAGCCACGTGGAGATTCATAACCTCCTTAGGACTCCGCTTTTAACAGAGGTTTAGGGTTTAGGATTTAGGGTTTAGGGTTTGGGGTTATAAGCCCCTATAAGTCCCCTAATGTGGCTACTGGTGCGTTCAAGGTTAGGCAGACTCGCTACCCTGTAACAGTGGTAGACGGGGAATCTACAAAGACCCTAGCACAATCACCATTCCCCCTCATAGTCCTCATTGTTGAGTGGGGTCCAACTTAAGTTAATCACCCCAGACCTGAGAAGTAGGAACCCTAAGCACTGCTGAGCCCTAAACCCTATAAGCCCTGAACCTGAAATCTCAAACCCTAAACCCTAAGCCCTGAACCCTATACAGTAGCGTCCGTTTTCTTTTCCGTTATACCTATAGAACCCCAACATACGAGAGCGGTTTCCATTTTCTTGTCCATTCCTTCCCCAAGCCCTCCTATTATCCCTATATTACCCCAACATCCTGTAGTAGTTTCCATTTGTTTTTCCATTCCTTCCCTAGGCCCTCCCTGAACCCTAAACCAAAAACCCCTAAACCCGTAAACC